AAAAAAGTAAATACTTTTTTAAATAATGAGTGTTCAATGATAAAAGAATCACCCTGTATACTTAAAGAAATAATGTACCGTTGGATCACAATCTTCACAGTGCCATGAGTAACCACAAACTTTTGGTGTTTTTTTCAATGGGGGATCAAGACAGCTAAAATGAAAATAGTTACTGCAATCCTCACACCTGTAAAAATGAAATGAATAAGCATATTAAAAATCTGATTATTATTGTATCAATACGATACATTTTTCTAATCAATTAGGTTACATTTATAAATTAAAACACGCTAATAATTTTCAAGATTGTTAGGATAAATTGATACTACTTTTTTTCTTTTTGATGAAAAAACTAATACAAATGAATGACTAAAATGTATGCCAACACAAATTAATGGTTTCTATGTTACTCAATTTAACTAAAATTACCATATGATACTCCAATATTGGTTTTAACAAATATTTTAACTTGGTAGAATATGATGGCAATTCAAGATATTGAGTAAAAAACTATAAGATGAATAATTTGTAATGTCTTTTTAAAAATATGAACACTTAATAAATCTATACACTTTGTATCACATTTTTATCATCATAATAACTGAATTTGAAATTATAAATAATACAATCATTTCTTTTATTCATATTTTAGCTGTTCATTTTATTCATTACTATACTTACTGAACCATTACATCGGTAGTTCCAGTTTTTTTACAAGTATAGCACAAAGGAGTTAATTTAATATCTGTCAATGTCTTTTTGATTCTGATTGGTGCAACACACTTTTCTAGTTTAGTTGTAGATGATTGAAGTGTTTCTTTTGATTGTGGTTCAATGAGTAATTGTGATGATGTTGTCATCACCCCACTAGCACTTGGTATAGATTTAATCTAAACAAAACTCATTTTTTTAATTTTATAAAATTCTATAAGTAATTTAATTTAACCTACAAAGAGTTTWATTTTATGTTGGGGTGATTCATTAGCTAAATGATTATTAGTCGGTTCCAATTCTGAAATATCTCTGTGATGCTTATGTTTGCGTTTACGAGACTTAACTCGCTTTGTTTTTATTTCTGTAGAATATTTGTCCATATGCTGTACATTTTTTTTTTCTCTGAAAAATGTTTGAGATAAATAATAACATTTATAGTATCATATAAATTTAGCATGTTATTAAATAATTAAAAMGTTGCAATATGCTAATATTAAAGTATTTCACATACATTTTGTAACACATTAATTTGATATATCAACATAATAAAATCTCAACTCTTAAATATTTTTAAGTACTTACTTGATGCCTCAGACATTTTATACTGTTTTGATGAACGATTGAAATCCTGTAACTTATGTTTTCATATATTTTTTAATTAAATTTAAAGTATATGATTTTACTAGAATAACTCAATATTTACATCATTAACAAAGGATGAAGATCCACGACTGTCTGATATAGATGGCTCTATTCCACTGTATCTTGATTTTCTAGGAGCATTAGGATCTAATACTAGTTGTTTAGAGCTGGAATKCGTATTTTCACATTCGCTACATTGCCTATAACATATTTTTAAGTAATTTTTTTTTGAAATATTAAATAGATTAATTTACCATCCGAATAATTTTGTCTTCTTAGGCATTCTAGTCAGTGGTGGAAATAAACAACGCAAATGATAGTATAAGCAGCATGTGTCACATTTCACAAGCAAATGTTGATCATTTGTTTGACTACAAATACCACATTTATTAAAAATACCTAATGGGGCCGCCACAGTATCTGAAAAACCGAATATAAAATTTTAATTACATACCATAAAATAATACATATTATATCACAATTCACCTTAAAACAAAATAATAATCTAATACCTGTAATTTTTAAATTATTATTATCTCATTGAGAATCCAATACCTACTTAAAAAAGCAAGAATAGGAATTGGACTATTAGTTACTAGATACAAATCATAAAGATTCAAGGATAATTTAATTTAGGGGGTTGATCCCTTTTACAAAGAATATAATATTACAAAAAAAAAAAAAAAAAAAA